TGGGCCTCTACTCAAGGCCTCCCTAAACACAAAAACACTTTGTTCTAATAACCTGGCACTCTTTGATACTCACCTTCCTGACAAGATCACTGAAAACAAAATGGGAGCATAAGCAAACGTAGTGAAGAAAATGAATGGTGCCCGGCTATCTAAAGATATAGTGTCTGGGTTCTTAAAGGCTTGAAGTTAAACAAGTAGCCATATAGTAGGAAAGCAACAAAGCCCACATGGAAGAAGCACACCAGCCTGTGTGATCATGAGGTATTGACAGAAGCAAGTATCAGGTATCAAAAGATACAAAACAAACAATTATATAGAGGTGAAAGAGGGGGATTGGAGTGGAGACCCAAAGCCCATCTGTAGACAATTGAACACCCCCCCACACACACACACACACATAAGGGATATAAGGAAGGGACAATTCAACCAGGGTGCACCAACACAACACACATCATTCCTCTAGTTCCTGAATGCTTCCTCCCCCCACTACCATGACCTAGGTCTACCTTACAGATCAAGCTAGACCGGAGAACCCACATTGGTACAGTTAAGAACTCTTGACATGGAATTCAGGACAGATAAAACCCTCAGGAACAGTAGTGGGAGTAGCGATCTTATGAGGGTAGGGGATGGTGGGGGTAGGGGGTAGGTGCAAAAAGGGGGAACCCATCACAAGTTTGGATATATAGCCCACCCCCCAGGGGGACAAATAACAGAAATGTGGGTGAAGGGAGACAAGGGTTGGTGTAAGACATGAAATAACAACATACTATATAATTGATCAAGGGTTCACGAGCATGGGGAGGTGGAGGAGGGAGGGGGAAAAAGGAGCTGATACCAAGGGCTCAAGTAGAAAGAAACTGTTTTGGAAATGTTGATGGCAACATATGTATAAGTTTGCTTAATACAACGGAATGATGGACTGTTTGAAGATTTGTAAGAGTCCCCCCAATGAAATGATGAAAAAAAGAAAGGAAATGTCTACCCTTAGGGTCAAAATCGACTTGAGGGCAGTGAGTTTGGCTTGTTTTATGAAAGGCCTAATGCTTAACGTCCTTTAGTAATTTACGGTACAGGCACAATAGATGGAAGCCATCCTCCACAGTAAGAGTATTACGGTATTAACTAAGGGCGGAGAAGCAAGGAAAGCGTTCAGGAGTAGCACTCCTTCCAGCTCTCACACAAGACAGTCTCTCAAGTAACAGATATACCAGGATGTTCACTGGAAATTTTAAGTCTGAAAAGTAAAAAATATCCATCTCTTGTGACTTCATTAACTGATACTTGCTAAGTTTATCCACGGGGCTTCAGAATCTTTCCCTGGCCGTATGCATCTGTTTGAAGTCCTACCTGTTCAGGTATGTATACATTTTCTAAGACTTTGTTAGCTTAGAAACAGAACCAAGTTGGAGCTGGAATGCGTCGCTCACTGCAAGTGCCCAGCAGATGAATTTTCCGATGGCTCCCGACCACTTTGGTAATAGTTACTGAATATGGCTTTTCTTCGGTTCTCTCGTGCATTCCTTCTATCAATCCCTCAACACCAAGCAACAATGATTCCCAGGTAACTTACTAAAATTGACGGGTATCTACTGTGTTAAACCCACCCCCTCTGGTAACCAACTCTGGCATTCATTTCCAGGGCAGAGTACAGCAAAGGCATCCTTGCACAGGTAATTAATTCTTTGCTTTATGAAGTTGATCCTTACTTAGCAAATATTTACTGAGTCCCTAACTGCTGCCAAGGACTCTTCTTAAACAAACAAACAAACAAACACCCCAAACAGCTGCTGCCATTTCAATTCTGGGCAACCCCACGTGTATCAAAGTAGACATCCTCGTATAATTTTCGAAGGTTCATTTTTCCGAAACGCGAGGATACGGAGGAGCCATCTCTGGGTAGACTCCAACTGCCAGCCTTCTGGTTTAAGCCCTCTTCTCCAAAACCCACTGCCATCAAGTCGGAATCGACTCATAGCAACTGGACACTCAGGTGTGAGCAAAACCAACACATTCCTTGCCTTCAGGGGTTTTATAAAGAAACTGAACTAGCTGAGGATTGGAAAGGATACGGAGACACGTGTCTTTAAGCTGAAGTGTCAGGGAAGGCTCCTCTAACGCGATCTTGGAGGCAGAATTCTCTTCCCATTCTTGGGATCCCAAAATTGGCTGCCTCTCATCATGCAGTGAGCAGCCAGGACTAGCACAGGAAGGAAGCGCTCGGGTCTGCAGCCACCCTACCTGCAATGTGCGGCCTGGTCGGATACTGTTCCAGAAGAAGTTTGGGTTTTTCAAATCCATCCACTTGTTGCAGGCGACTCTCTAGTTCCTTAAGCCTTAATTTCTTCATTTTTTCTTAAAGCGTGCGGCGGCAGGGCTCACCAGACTCGGTGATGCCCGCCTTCCCCCCCGGTGGCCAGTGGCAGGAGGAGGAGTCTGGTCTGCGTCGGAGACAAGCCCCGGACCCGCCTCCCAGATTCGCCCCCCAGGTAGCTCGCGCGCTCTCAGGTCCCCAGGCGACGGGCGAGGGCGAGGGCGAGGGCCCGCACTGAGACTAGGTCCTAGCGCCGTCTCCTACACTTCCGGATGCAGCAGGCTCCGCTGCTGGGACCGGAAGCGCCTCTACGCATGCGCGTAACGATCCACTGCCTAGCATCCCTCTCCGGGCTGCAACCTCGGTGTAGCTTCTCTTGTTCCGCTGGCTATTCAGACGCCTCATCCTCCCCACCTGCCCTGATCCCAGTCCCGGAGTATCCTTAGCTGCCCCTCTTGAGGCTATTCATCCTCTAGCTTTTTCTGTCAAAGAATGAGAGGGACAGGGGCGGCGACAGTAATGGGGGAAAGCGTGAAAGCGAGGACAAAACCCCTTGTGTTCTGTCACTTTGTGTTACTGCCCATTGTGACCTTTCCACCTGCCAAATCTCCTCCCCAAAGTAGCTATTTCCCCTCTCCTCTGCCTCCATTGCTATTTGCATGCCCTACTTGAGTTTAACTTCACCCTCCTCCTCCTTTGTAGGTCACCTGTATCACTTACCTCAACTCTCCCAGGATTGGTGATGTCAGAGAAACCCAAAGAATTTGAAGGTAGGCCGTGGGAAGAATGCTGTTCCATTAAAGTCTGAGCGTGGGGTTTTTGGAAGGTTTTGGTTTACAGTGGGAACCCCAAATCCATTTTGAGTTTCCACAAACATTCAGCATCCTTTGATTTCTCGCTGATCTTCCACAGAAATGTAAAAAGTAGGTCTTCAAGGTGTGTAGGTAGCATTTCCTGGAGAGCCCAGGGCGGGACAATCTCACCCTCAGTAACGGCAGGCCCGTGGGGGAAATTGGAGTACCAGGATCGCGTGGTTTTGAGTCATGCTGAGACCAAGATGGTTGGAGGGCTTCAGAACCAATCCTAGACACTTTTCTTTTTTTTTTTTTTCCTAGACACTTTTCTAATCTGCAGCGTGGTCCCTCTCTTGCTTCTGTAGTCTCACCTGCAACTGATGAATTGGTCGGCTGACAAGATTTGGTGAACATTTCCTTTGTTTTCTATATAAGCAGCCACATGACTGTGAATCTTGTGAACATCGTTATAACCTTATGCTCATGGTCTCCCTCACCTGGATGATTAATGTTTGTCTTTGTCCTGTTTAAGACTTTATGAAAGTGTATGCTGAGTAAACAATCCAACAAAATGGACTATATGAAGAAGGAGGACGCATCAGGATTGGGGGAAGTATTATTAGCAACCTATAATAGGCAGATGACACAAACTTGCTTGCTGAAAGCCAGGAACACGTGAAGTACTTGTTGATGAAAATCAAAGACTGCAGCCCTAAGTCTGGATGGCACTATTGGGTAGCAAGATAGGGAGTTGTTCCTCTCTATGCTTAGGGGCCCCCTACAGGACGTTGGAAGCTGATAAAGGTTAAAGGGCATGCACCAATTTATGCCCTGAGCCAAGGGGGGGCGGTACACCTAGGTGGGTGGTACACCTGGATTGGCCCAACCTAGGGCAGGTGGGATTAATTCAGCCAATGGGGTCAACCAGTACTATCAACCATGCCTCCCAGCAGAAGGCCCGAAAAACCGGAACCTGGAGACCATCACCCTCTTTTCCCGCTGCTCCTCTGCCTTCCGCTCAGCAGTGCTGCGGTCTCTCCTTCTCTCTCGCCCCTCTCCACTCTCCCCTTCCCCTCTCCCTCTCCCGTCACCACGTGTAAGGGTGCAGTCCTGTGTTCAGTTAACTGTAAAACCTGAAACTTCTATCCTTTATAAAAACTCACTTGGATCACAAAGTAGGCTTCTGTGTGAAATTCTTTCTCATGCAAAGCCAAGAATCGAGGTATTTCCCACTTAAGGAATCTAGCAGCACCTCAATCCTAAGAAAACCAAACTCTTCACAACTGGACCAAGACAACATCATGATAAAGAAAAGATTGACATTGTCAAGGATTTCATTTACTTGGATCCACAATGGACACCATGGAAGCAGCAGTCAAGAGATCAAAGCATACTTTGCATCGAGTAAACCTGCTACACAAGCTTTCTTCAAAGTCTTAGAAAGCAAAGATGTCGTGAGAGACTGATGTGTGTTTGACCAAAGCCATGGTATTTTCGATCACATCCCCTGGTATGCATGTGAAAGTTGGACAAGACTGAGGAAGGCTGCAGAGCAATTGATGCATTTGAATACTGGCATTGGGGAAGAATATTAAAAGTGCCATGGACTTCCAGAAGAACAAACATATGTCTTGAAGGAAGTACAAGCCGAATGCTCTTTAGACCTGAGGATGGTAAGACTTCATCTCAGGTACTTTGGGCATATTATCAGGAGAGACTGTGCTAGTTAAATAATATCACGCCAACTTAAGGGTATTAAGAATGAAGTAGGGGGAAAAAGAATGAAGGGGTGGAGTCCGGCTTGTCAACCACGTCACAGCCTGATGATGCCTCCTTGTGGGCCTGGCCTTCTCAGGAGGATTCTGGGAACCTCTCTCTCTCTTTCTCTCCTTCTCTCTCTCTCTGCCTTCACCTTCCTGTTGACAAGCCATGCAGAGACTTACTGAGACCTGTGAGGAGTCTCTCTCTCTGCTTCACCTTCCTGTTGGGGAGCCACATCAGAGAGCTGGAGGAGCCACGTGAAGACCCCTGCCAGCACTGAGATGGTTCTACTGCCACTGGATCCACAAGACTTTCCAGCCACCAGCCTGTGATCTTCCTGCATTCAGCATCATTGCATAGACTGCATGAGTCTGAACAGGAGTTTGTGGACTAATATCAGACATATGAGCTAATATCAGATTTATGGACTTGATCTGGACTGGGCTGGGGTGTAATAGGACTGTGACAGAGTGACAGAAAGGCTGGCTTCCAGGAACACAGAAGCAGAAACCAAGGGATCACATGGGCGAGAGGCTGAGGTCTGGAGAGAGGCTTAGCTGCTGGCTGAGGAGAAGTATAGCTGTGGACAAATGACTATCCTTACTGTTTCCTGATACCGACTGTGGTAGCCCTATTTAACTTCCCTAATAAACCCCATACTCGTGAGTATTATTTGTGAGTTCTGTGTGGCCACTGCAGTGAATTGGTGAACCCTACATAGAAGGCAGAGTACTGTGGGAGGAATGGTTAGTGTCAGATAGATAAAGATAGAAGGCATATCTGACCCCTGCCTGGTGGCATTAGGGAAGTCAGAGGAGGTCAGTTTATTGCAGTTAGTGGTGCCAGACACTGGTTGCACTGTGGGTTTAGCATTAGGCTGTTAATTGTAAGGTTGGGTGGGTCAAATCACCAGCCACTCAGTAGGAAAAAGATGAGACTCTCTGTCTCATCTTTATAGTCTTGGAAACCCTATGTATAGGGTCACTATGAGTCAGGATCAATTTGATGGCAGTGGTTTGGGATTTTTTGGTTTGTTTGAATAAACTTGTTTCTCACTAAAGACTCCCAAGTCAATTTCAATTTTACTTTTCCTCTTTTTTTTTTTTTAAAGCCACTCAAACAACCATTTAGATTTGAGGGATATGGAATTTGGAAGGATTTGAGGGGGGGGTGTTAAAAATATACTATACACACTATATATATTTTCACATCCACTCTCAAGAAATGAACTCATCAGCAACACTCTGTTAAACTCTTCATAGATGTAGTTCTTTTTCTATCCTCTCCTGTCCTCCCCCCTCCTGAATAACCTCCTTCCCCTCTCCTGCCCATCCATCAAGGCTTGTCTATCGATGTATAAACCATGATTCTTTTTCCCCTTATAACAACGGTGTTATTAAATGCTTATCGCTGTAAGATTGACTGAGATTGCTGAGCATAATGTTTTCTAGCTTTGTCCGTGTCTTGCAGTGTTTAAGAGAGTTGTTATTGTTTTTTCTTGATTTGGGGGTGGGTGTTGGCAATAGAGGAAGGGTAGAAGCAAGTTGTGGTAGATTGTGAAATAAAGTAAAAAGCGGAAGAATAGTGGGAACATTTAAGAAATGTGATTATGAAAAGAGGTGTGAGGATGGTTAATGATTAGCTAGAGTAAATTTGGGAAGAGGGGAAACTCCTTCAGCCCCACTCCCCACCATGGATGGAACATTCAGTACCCAGGTAAAAGGATTGGCCGTAGCCTGGGTCATGGACACCTCTTAGATTGTTAGGAAGGGAAAAAAGGAGAGGGTGGATGAACATAAAGTATGTTTGGTTGTATATATTCTCAAAAATAAATTATATATAAAAGAAAAAAAATCAAAATGTAGGTCATGAGAAAGCTGGCAGAGCCCATGGTTGCTGACGGCTCTAGAAGTTTCCTAATAACTCTTGTGGTGTATGCTACAGTCAGGATACACTCCCAGCTTCCTCAAAGGCCCATGGGCACAATGTGCTGGCTGCCTCCAGTTACAGACAGGGAGGCAAGGGGTACCTTCTCGTGAACCAACCCCAAGGGAGCATCATTGACGGTGTGGGCCTATGCCCACACCCATCAGAAAGGACGCAGTTTTGCCCAGGGTGAAGGTGGCTTTGAGATAAACCTGGATCACAAAAAACAGAAAGCCTGCTAAGCCACGCTCTTTACTCTCCCCAGAGCGGTTCTGGCCACAGTAGTGGCCACTGAGTGGCCACCCCACAGCAGGGTACCATGAAATCCTGCACCGTGCACCAGACTCCCGTATACAATAGTCCTTTGGACAACCCAAGTCAGTAAAGCAAGAACCAGCTGCTGTGGGCAGCTCTGAAGTTTCTAGATGCCGACACCATCTGCTATAGGGTGGAGGAGCCAGAGACACGAGTGGAATTTCAGAAGACTGCGTGGGATCCCATTATCGAGTGGGCAGAGACGAGATGTGGTGCGGAGATCGGTGCCTCCACCAGCATCCAGCATACCAGCCAAGACTCGGGAAGCACTTGCCAGCCACCTGACATCTTACAACATGTGAATCCTCCAAGGGATGGGGTTTGTGGTGGCCCAGCTCGAGTGCACGGTACTGACCTTGGGCTGCATTGACCTGGGCCTGATGGTGTTGCACTGGGAGGACTGCCAGGTCCAGGAGTGGGGAAACTGCGAGTGGGTCCATGACGATGA